TTTTTTTCGCTATATCTCAAGTACTGGATGGATCTTTCTGAAATTTCACATGTACTTACAGCACCTACTATGGAGTGCTATATCTTTACTTCATACCAATTATTTTAAACATATTCATGTGAGTGATACAGGCCCTCTGGGCCTCTTGTTCAAACAAACTATTCTGACTACTATTTTCATATGAAACAGGAGATGTTCCCTATTCCCTGAAATTGCATTCCCTACATGCTGGAGCTACTATCAACATCACCGTTGCACCCAGTAAGTATTAAAATACCCGTAAAAAATACTTTAGATCTTAAATCATATTTTGATGGATGTTGCCTGTTTGGAAGAGGAATGTCTACTGATTTTAGAGTTAACTAGCTATAGGGGACTTACGAAGGTCCGACTGGTTATAAATAGACCACTTTCAGTAACATATTTGTTTCTGGAATCCTAACAAATATTTTCCAGACTATAATTGGGCATATGCCTCCAAACCAAGAGTTTATTTTCTTTCCTTTGTCTTATTTTTCACTGATATAGACATTGTTTTCTTTCCTTTGTCTTATTTTTCACTGTTATAGACGTTGTTTTCTTTCCTTTGTCTTATTTTTCACTTATATAGAGGTTGTTTTCTTCCCTTTGTCTTATTTTTCACTGATAGAGAAGTTTTCTTTCCTTTGTCTTTTTTTCCACTGATATAGAGGTTGTTTTCTTTCTTTTGACTTATTTTTCACTGAAATTGAGGTTGTTTTCTTTCCTTTGTCTTATTTTTCACTAATAGAGAAGTTTTCTTTCCTTTGTCTTTTTTTTCACTGATATAGAGGTTGTTTTCTTTCCTTTGTCTTATCTTTCACTGATACAGAGGTTATTTTCATTCCTTTGTCTTATTTTTCACTGATATAGAGGTTGTTTTCTTTCCTTTGTCTTATTTTTCACTGATATAGACGTTGTTTTCTTTCTTTTGTCTTATTTTTTTTACTGATATAGAGGTTGCTTTCTTTCCTTTGTCTTATTTTTTACTAATAGAGAGGTTGTTTTCTTTCCCTTGTCCTATTTTTCACTGATATAGACGTTGTTTTCTTTCTTTTGTCTTATTTTTTTTACTGATATAGAGGTTGCTTTCTTTCCTTTGTCTTATTTTTTACTAATAGAGAGGTTATTTTCTTTCCCTTGTCCTATTTTCACTTATATAGAGGTTGTTTTCTTTCCCTTGTCTTATTTTCACTGATAGAGAGTTTATTTTCTTTCCTTTGTCTTATTTTTCACTGTTATAGACGTTGTTTTCTTTCCTTTGTCTTATTTTTCACTGTTATAGACGTTGTTTTCTTTCCTTTGTCTTATTTTTCACTGAAATTGAGGTTGTTTTCTTTCCTTTGTCTTATTTTTCACTAATAGAGAAGTTTTCTTTCCTTTGTCTTTTTTTTCCAATGATATAGAGGTTGTTTTCTTTCCTTTGTCTTATTTTTTTACTAATAGAGAGGTTATTTTCTTTTCCTTGTCCTATTTTCACTGATAGAGAGTTTATTTTCTTTCCTTTGTCTTATTTTTCACTGTTATAGATGTTGTTTTCTTTCCTTTGTCTTATTTTTCACTGTTATAGACGTTGTTTTCTTTCCTTTGTCTTATTTTTCACTGATATAGACGTTGTTTTCTTTCCTTTGTCTTATTTTTCACTGAAATTGAGGTTGTTTTCTTTCCTCTGTCTTATTTTTCACTGATAAAGAGGTTGTTTTCTTTCCTTTGTTTCATTTTTCACTGATATAGAGGTTGTTTTCTTTCTTTTGACTTATTTTTCACTGAAATTGAGGTTGTTTTCTTTCCTCTGTCTTATTTTTCACTGATAAAGAGGTTGTTTTCTTTCCTTTGTCTTATTTTTCACTGAAATTGAGGTTGTTTTCTTTCCTTTGTCTTATTTTTCACTAATAGAGAAGTTGTTTTCTTTCCTTTGTCTTATTTTTCACTGTTATAGACGTTGTTTTCTTTCCTTTGTCTTATTTTTCACTGAAATTGAGGTTGTTTTCTTTCCTTTGTCTTATTTTTCACTTATATAGAGGTTGTTTTCTTTCCCTTGTCTTATTTTTATTCGCCCATCGAAGACGGGGACGTATTATGTTATCACTTTTCACTGATAGAGAGTTTATTTTCTTTCCCTTGTCTTATTTTTCACTTATATAGAGGTTGTTTTCTTTCTTTTGTCTTATTTTTCACTTATATAGAGGTTGTTTTCTTTCTTTTGTCTTATTTTTCACTTATATAGAGGTTGTTTTCTTTCCCTTGTCTTATTTTTCACTTATATAGAGGTTGTTTTCTTTCTTTTGTCTTATTTTTCACTGATATAGAGGTTGTTTTCTTTCTTTTGACTTATTTTTCACTGAAATTGAGGTTGTTTTCTTTCCTCTGTCTTATTTTTCACTGATAAAGAGGTTGTTTTCTTTCCTTTGTTTCATTTTTCACTGATATAGAGGTTGTTTTCTTTCTTTTGACTTATTTTTCACTGAAATTGAGGTTGTTTTCTTTCCTCTGTCTTATTTTTCACTGATAAAGAGGTTGTTTTCTTTCCTTTGTTTCATTTTTCACTGATATAGAGGTTGTTTTCTTTCTTTTGACTTATTTTTCACTGAAATTGAGGTTGTTTTCTTTCCTTTGTCTTATTTTTCACTAATAGAGAAGTTTTCTTTCCTTTGTCTTTTTTTTCCACTGATATAGAGGTTGTTTTCTTTCCTTTGTCTTATTTTTTACTAATAGAGAGGCTATTTTCTTTCCCTTGTCCTATTTTCACTTATATAGAGGTTGTTTTCTTTCCCTTGTCTTATTTTTATTCGCCCATCGAAGACGGGGACGTATTATGTTATCACTTGAGCGGGCGGGCGGACGATGTCCGCTCGATATCTCAAGTAATTATTAACGTATTAACTTTGAACTTCACCATAAGGTTAATTACCATGAAAGCTCGGACAAGTTCGATAACCGCCATTATCCGACCATAATTTGTGGAGTTATGCCCCTTTATGGACTTGCCGAAACAGTGTCCGCTCGATATCTCGAGTAATTATTAACGGATTAACTTCAAACTT